TCAGGGTTTATTTTGTTCCTGATTTACAGCATCCGCAGTTCTTTCAGTGACAGACTCTAACTTCATGGTTTCCAAATTAATCTGTCCATATGCTAAAACTGAATTGTGGTCAACTTGAAATCCCACTGGCAGTTTACTACAAGAAATCCCTGCAAAAATAGGGACACCCGACTAAGATTATCCTAAAATCTAAAGAGAAGTGCACCTAATCCCATGCACTTAAAAACTTGGTGATTTATTTTCAAAAGTCTGTTTTAATCTCTCAGTCCATATTTGACCTTTAGATTCCCTACCACCAAGGATATCTATAAGCACCTTGAGTAATTTCCATTGGAGCCAGAACAGATTGGGGATTTGATTAGAGTAACCCACCATCCTGGGATTGACCTGAATTTACTAACAATTAAAAATTTAATCACCAAACACTAGTGAAAACCCATTGGTGGGAAAATAATGCCAGTGATGGAAAACTGGACAGTTAGAAGATAGAATTAAAACTTCTACCTGTTAAGAATTCGCCAGTCAGGGTAACAAAAGAATCGGCTCACCTTTTGAATTAGTCCATAGTCGTGTCAGGCACTCATTAATGGGAGTATTGGCAAGGAACTCGGAGGTAGAAAGCCATATAATGCAACTTCCCAGAATACATTCAACGAGAGCTGGTAACCCTAGTTCTGGAACAGGTCTGTCTGAGGTTTGTGAATAACTTATTCACATTATAATAAATCATATAATTTTAAACTTGCACAAAAAGAGACTAAGCATGTTGATTCTCTTTGAAAAACCTAAAATTTTAAATATTTCTTAAAAGTTTATAAGACGTATGAGTCCCAGGTAGGACCTATCACTTAATATCTGATTTGACTCTCGCCTAGAATAGGAGACACAGGTGATAAGTACCTGAGATTTTATTTTGGGTGTTTCTGTGTGTGCAGCTATTCAATATAAAATTTGAAAAGCAGATTATGTTCTAAATTGACTTTGAATCCTGTGTTGCTTCAAAACTTGGGTTTCCAAAATCCGTGACTTCTTTTAAAATTCTTAAATGAAAGCAACATATTTTTATTGTCTTACAGCGACCATACATGACCTTAGGAACTCTGAGGGATCAGGTGATCTACCCAGATGCACTGGAAGATCAAAGGCAGAAAGGAATATCTGATCAGGTATAACATATTGTTCTGTCAAGTTAGGTATCCACTTTATGCTTAGAACCTCATATGGCTTGTTAGCCATTCCTGGGTGCAGCAAGTGCCAATGTTGGAATAGAGGTTGGTTTAGCTCGATTGGCTGGACAGTTGGTTTATGGAGCAGTGTCATGCCAACAGAGTGGGTTCAATTCCCATCACTGGCTGAGGTTACCATGAAGGACTCTGTTTCAGCCTATCCCCTCGCCTGAGGTATGATGGCCCTGAGGGTAAATCATCACCAGTAATCTCTGTCTAATGAGAGAACAACCCTATGGTCTGGTAAGAATGTGGTGACACAACAACAGCAATATTGAAATGAAGTGGGTGATGAGGAAAAATTATGAAAAATATGGGATCAGTTGTGAAATTAGTTAATTTGGAGCTCTCATTGCAAGGACTCAGTTAAAGCTCTGATTTTTATGCCATTGCAGTCATCATTATCTCAAATTCCCTTACATCTTGTATCACTCCTCTCTGCTCCGAAACTATTTATTGGATTAACAAAGTTGCTGGAAAAGCTCTGAAGAAGAGTCACTGGACCCGAAACGTTAACTCTGTTTTTCCCTTCATATATGCTACTAGACCTGCTGAGCTTTTCCAGTAACTTTGTTTTTGTTCCTGATTTACAGCATCCACGGTTCTTTCGGTTTTCATTTATTGGATTAGTTGCTGCATTTCACCAACAGTATTTACAGAACATTGGTCAATGTGGGCGGCACGGTGGCTCAGTGGTTAGTACTGCTGCCTCATAGTGCCAGGGACCCGGGTTCGATTCCACCCTCTGGCAACTCTCTGTGTGGAGTTTGCACATTTTCCCTATGTCTGTGTGGGCTTCCTCCCGGTACTCCAGTTTAATCCAAAGATTTGCAGATTAGGTGGATTGGCCATGTTTTCAGGGATCTGTGGATTGGGTGTGTTAGCCATGGGAACTTAAGGATTACAGGGAAGAGGTAGATGGATGGGGCTGGGTGGAATGCTCTTCAGAGGGTTGGTGTGGACTGGCTAGGCCTGTTTCTATGCCCCGCATGGAAGATCAAAGAATGTCAGTGACTTTTGTGCTATTGTGTCCCTCTGTTGCTTCCATCACAAGATCTCTCTTTTGTCTTTTTCTTCTCCCTCTGTCCTTGTTTGCTTTTTATTGACTTTCTTTATGGTCAGGAAAAGGTGGATGGCATGGCACACAATCAGCTTTTAACCTGGTAATTGTGAGGAAAATATGGTTTTTCCAGTGATTTTCTGCCAATCTCTTCCCTGCTCATGCTTTCTCGCCTCCATTATGTCCCATCTCAGCATATTCTGACTACCCATTCACTTTCCTACTACCCTCTTAATCTTATCCCAACCTTAATAGGCAAACCTGAGAGGCCATCTTTGAAGAAAAGGTAGTTTGAATAAGATTGGTGTGTGTTCCCATCAAGGGGAAAAATGGATTTGTATAAATCTAGAACTCCCTGAATGACAAAAGAGATAGAGATTATGACAGAGGAGAAAAGTGTGTTCATGACAGATGTAGTTAATTGAGGACAAATCTAATTTAGAACATTCAGAGAGGTATTGAAAAGATAAATAAGGGAAGCAAGGACAGAATGTGAGAAGGGACAGGCAGTTAACATAAAGGAATTCGTAAACCTTCTGTAGGCATATAAAAGTAAATAAAGGAGATATATGCCTGGAGATGGGAGGCATACTCGGGAACAAGATTTTTCCCATGTAACCCTGAATAAGGAGGCAGTTCAGACCCCTGAAGATGTTATAATTGACAAGGAGGAAGTAATGTACTTAAAATTGATAAGGCACCAGGATCAAATCAGCTGCATCCACAGATACTAATGGAAGTGAAAGTAGAAATTGTTACGCCGTAAGCTATAATTTTCCTTAGACTTGGGGTGCAAGAAACATGGAGAATAGTCAGAATGTCGTCAGTTTCTGAAGTTATTCAATTCAAAATTGAGACCTCAAGGCAGATTTAAAATAGAGATGAAGAGAAATTACTTCTCGCAAAAGGTCATGAATCTGCAGAGTTCGCTACCTCTGAGTGTGGTGGATGCTGGGACAGTGAGTAAATTTAAGAAGCAGAGAGATACATTTTTAATTAATAATGTGTTAAAGGGTATGGAGAATGGACAGGAAAATGAAGTTGAGGCTGAGATGAGATCAGCCATGATTGTGTTAAGTGCTAGACCAGACTTGAAGGGCTGAATTGTGTACTCCTGCTCCTATTTATGTTCTTTTGAAGGGTCTGAGCAAAACAGGTAGTGGAAAATTGTTTCCATTAGTGGAAAGATCTAGAACCAGAGGACAAAGATTTAAAATAATTGAGAAAAGAAGCAATGTGACACAAGGAAAAGCTTTATTCACAGTGAGTTAAAGGGATTTAGAATGCACTGTCAAAGCATATGGTGGAGACCAGATGAATTGGAACTTGGGAATTAAATCGTATCTGAAAAGGAAAAATTGCAGGGCTACAGAGATGAGTCAGGAGAGTGGCTCTCTGTGAATTGCTCCTTCAGAGCAGTTGAATGGTATCCTTCTGTGTGGTAACCATTCAATAAATCGTCTCCCCACTCTCAAATTCCATAAAACTCTGCATCATTTCATCTTCATTTCTTGGCTGTTATCCACCTTATCCTTAACCCTGCATGCACTCCGTCCACACTATTTGTTACAATTTAATGTAGAATTTCCTCACTACTGCAATGAAATGGTGGCCTGTGTTACATACTTATCCCCTCCTGGCCACTGACCTTGGTTAAGTCAGCTGTGACAACCTCAGAGACTTATTTTGACTCATGAGCTGAATTTCTAACTCATATTTGGTATATCACAAACACCAACTTGAGGTGTGTTGAAGTCACCCTTGTAGAATTGGATGTGATATCTTAAATAAGCACATTTATACATCTTGAAGATTACAGGGAACTATAATTAGTATCAAAAACAGAAAATGCTGGAAAACTCAGCAGTTTTGTTCAGAACAGTTCTGAGGAAAGGTCACTGAACGTGAAATGTTAACTCTGCTTTCTATCCACAGATGCTGCCAGACAATGCTGAATTTTTCCAACATTTTGTTTTTGTTTCTGATTTTCAGCATCTGCAGTTTTATTTTGCTATAAATGATATAGTTAGTTCTGTTATAAAATTTATCACTATCAGAGGCATGATGAATTTGACAGCATCTTTTGGTGCTGAAATTTCTTAATTACACCATATCCTATCTGAAAAATGCGATAATAAAAATGATTTTTTTGACTATCCAGTGTCCCTCAAGTTGCCATAAAATGTATTTTGCTACTTGAACAAAAAGAACTATACTCAAAATGGATTGAAAATTTAAACTCTCTTTAGTAACTTTTTAAAATGTAATTTCCAAGTCTCCCATGCTTTGTTACTCATGAAACATTTTAACAAACAGTCCATTCCACTTACTGATGTTATTTGTCACCAGGTACTGAAAGAGTATCTCGACAACGTCCAGCTTGGTCATATTCTGGAGCGTGAGGGAGGCTGGGATTGCATTCAGGACTGGATGGATGTACTCAGTGGAGGGGAGAAACAACGAATGGCTGTATGTCTCACTTACATATTTTCAAAAGCTTTAAACTTGTGTGCTTCATATTTGATACGAGGATGAAATATGAAATCCTTCCATCATATTCATGAGAACTTCATACAGCACTGTATAACCTTCACACATTTATTGATTTTCTATTACAAAGGCTAGAGTCTAAATTCAAAATAACTATTTTTGTAGCTTTGTGAGAATCTTTTACACCTAGGATGGGTGGATAAGATGAAAGAATGCAAACATATTTTCAAGCAAACTTCAAATAAATATCCCACGAAATGTAGAGCCATTTTTTACATTGCTGTTAAGAATCCTGCCAGCATTAAGTCTACAAAGGTAAAAGCTACTTTCCAGTCAGTCCATTTGTTGGAGAGGAGTAGGGAAATGGAAAGGCTTGTTTTTGAAGAAAGAGTGAACAAAATCAGATTTTTTTTTGGAAAAATTCAGCATCTGTGGGTCTCTTCTCTTCTGAAGAAGGGTCACTGGATATGCAACTTTAACTCTGCTTTCTGTTCACAGATGCTGCCAGACATGCTGAGCTTTTCCAGCAATTCCTGATTTTTGTTTTTTTTTGGTTTCATCTGCAGATCTTTAGTTTCGTTTGAAGAAAGTGTGAGCCCAATTGGTGGACTACAAGGAAAGCAGCTCCTGCGTAGTTTTGCATTTGTTGCTGTATTAATTGTAGTGTAAGGGCTGTAGGACCATGAAATAAATGTGCGATGTCCCATTGCTTATCGCAGGGGATAAATAACACAGAGTGGAAGGTGTTAGATAAACTGAAGATGGAAGAACGTTGGAAAATAGATGTGTCTTAACAATAAGCTCTGAACTTGATATCTCTCAGATTGCCATGCATAGTTGGATGTAATATTAACATGCAATAACTAGAGTTTTACAAAGGCAAAGGTTTGAAAACATTTCTCAACCTTGTCTTTTACTGACCAGTCTGCCTTGAACCCAAACTCTGAAATGGAACCCTAAAAGTGTGTGACTAAATGTGGTAGTAGCCGTCGAATCCACCACCTAAAAAAAATCTTAGCAGTAGTGAAGGTCGAGAAATGGACCTGAAATCGTCTGGAGAATAACTCAGAAAATCACTTCTTTCCAAAAATTCATCAGTACCGATTTAAGTCCAGCTAGCAGCAGAAGAACAACTGTGCTGAATGGTTCCTGTGCAAGAAGAATCTCTGAATAGGAAATTTCTGCTCATAAATCACCAAGACAACTGTAAATCAATGAAAGCTTTTTATAGCCAGTAATAGGAAAAACTAACAGTAAAAGGAAAAGCAGTGAAAATAAGAAAAGCCCATCAGCTACCAATGGGATAAAAACAAAGTTGCTGGAAAAGCTCAGCAGGTCTGGCAGCATCTGTGAAGGGAAAAACAGAGTTAACGTTTTGGTTCCGGTGATCCTTCCTCAGAATAGTTCTGAGGGTCACCGGACCCGAAACGTTAACTCTGTTTTTCCCTTCACAGATGCTGCCAGACTAGCTGAGCTTTTCCAGCAATTTTGTTTTTGTTTCTGATTTACAGCATCCGCAGTTCTTTCGGTTTTTACCAATGGGATAAACCTGAATTGAGCACCTGCAAAAGGAGACTGATTGATTGATTACTGGACACTTGATGCAGAGCCAATCCATTTCTTAGAGGAGAAACCTGAAAAATTGGGCTGGAAGGCAAAGTTAGAATTATGGCAGCTTTAAACTACTTATTCGTTGATGAGTTTATCAACAAGCAAATTACAAAAATTCTTCAGTAGCATTGATTGATTGAAAAAAGTCATGAGTAAGAATCATTTGGAATTCAAAATCTGAAAACACTAACGAAGAATTTAACTGAATTTTCATGATGTCGACAGTTTGGGTGAAGAATTTTATTCAATAACCACAAAGTTTTATCAAGTTTAATTGTTAATAAATGAATGCAATGAAAATGCTGCATATCGGATCCTCTAGGATGAATTTGGTGAGAATATACCCAGATGCAGAAAAAAAATTGGAGTGAACGATGTTATGGCAGCTTTGATACAGTTAAAAAATAACTATCAATCTATTGATTGAAGCCATTTTGAGAAAGTTTCTACCCACAAGTCTATAGGCAATCCTTCATTCACCTCTATGAAGATGCCATATCAGTAAAGAAAAACTGATTTTTACGTTGAAAACAGCATTTATCCAGCAGAAGCTTCAACAACTTTCAGTTCTAGTGTGATAACAACATTTACATCAAGAAAGACTAAAACAAGGCAACAAAATGACGATACAGGATGATCAAAATCCTAATATAGTCATCTACCAAGTCAAGAAACCTGAGGTGCTCATCTACAATCAGCCATTGCAGCAATATTCACTCGTTTTCCATTAGTGAAGTTCAAGCTATCACAACATTTGATAAATAAGAAAATCGGCATTGTAGAAAGCACAATTCCCTAGATTTTGAACAGCTTCAGCATTGGGTACCTAATCAAATAAAGAACTGGTTATCACACCTCTTGATACATAGGACAAATATCAGGTCATGTGATACGTTGACAGCAGATTAGTAAAACTTAAATTATATTTGACGACTTCAGAATAGTTTTTGAGCAATGTTTCACTTTGAGAACAAATAAGACACTGAGATCAAGCTTCAACAGATACCAACTCTCAGGACAGTCTGTACATAACTTCATTCATCACCTTTATGTACTCTGTTGAACCTTACAATATGGGAACATACAACAAGAGCTCATTTGCAACAAAATCAGTGCCGAACTTTTCTAATCAAAAAAAACTTTTGAATGAGCAGTCCAGATAGCAGAGATGCAGAATCTAGAAAGATTTTCTAGAAACATTATGTAGCAAAGGTTAATTTTAACGTGGAACATTCTACAGAAAGTGGATTATTTACAGCAAGATGGAGCTTTAAATTTGAGGAGACAGACATCTCATTTTAAAATAGAATATATGTTGTCACATACTATATAATGCTGTAGTTGCAGGTGTGCTTGTAAAACTCCACATTACAAAGACAAAACTGTAAGAAAAGAAGTCACTTCTCAAAAATGTGCTACGGTCTGAAGATCACACTAAGCATTAAACGAAATTGTTTCCAGGCCAATGTGTATGTTCATGCCTTGGAACAAACCTAGAAGAAAAGATCAACAGTTCAATAGAATATGTGTTATTATATGGGGATCAACCACCTATAGATGAATAACATCACTGATTTTTTTTCTTGGAGAAATAACACCATCACCCAATCCAAATGCTACTGATGGAGACAAAGGAACAACCCTACTTTTCCATACATTTCTGCAGTTATATCAATGCAAAACGGTTCAGCAAATGCTACTCATTAAGGAAATGTGATCAGCACACCAGATAGATTAACTCTCTAAGCTAACAGAAACCAGCAGGGAGAAAGAGAAAGCTCGTCAACTTTACTTCTATCTATCAGTGACTTTCCTTACCCACCTATTGGCACAGATGAATCATATCAAAGACCTGAGGAGGGATGGGAGATAGACAGACATGCAGTAAATGTTGTAAAAATAAGTAACCTAAGCAACTCATTTGAGAATGTATGTGTAAAATGTTGATTATGAGGTGTAGAAACCTTGTGGAAGGGTGTTGGTTAAGAGTGAAAAGACCCTGGAGCAATATTACAATGATGTCATTGAGCTGCTTCCCACGTGGTACAAATAGCACAGTGTGGGTGGAGTTAGTCGGATGAAAGATCATTAGAAGGAAGGTAACAATAAGCTGTGACTTTGGTTTCTCTAAGATTACTACGTAGAGTTCTATGTAATGAGAGTTCTACAGAAGTCTGAGGTTGAAGACAGTTCTTGACTTTGCCTTCTCGACCAGTCTACACTGAACCCAAACTGTCAGGTGTGGCCCTAAATACACACAATAAAAGAATGAACAAACCTTTCACAACCGCTGCAAAACATTTTTTTTCCCCCCTGTATTGACCAATCAAGCTCTGGCAGTTGCTTCTTTACTGTTTTATTCTCTTGGTATTAACATACTTTACCTGATACAATTGATATATTTTTTCTTTCTGTTTTCTTATGTTGAAAATTTGTTTAAGCCTGTTCATCTCAATTAACAGAACTTTTGAATTAGTCTAAAACTTAGCTGCATTTTCTTGTCAATATTGTTGTATTTCCAAGCGATTGGTACCATTGTAGTTTAACAAAGCCAGAACAGGCTAACGGCTAGTTTGATTAAAATGAATATCCTCTGAAAGAAATACTGACCTTGCATGAACCACTGCTGTTGTTATTATTATTCATTTCTTCTTAAATGCAGATGGCTCGATTATTCTACCACAAACCACAATTTGCTATTTTAGATGAATGTACCAGTGCGGTTAGCGTAGATGTTGAAGGCTATATCTACAGTCACTGCAGAAAGGTAAGCCATGCCGCTGGAGGATAACGTCAATTAAAATGCTGTTCATAGACGAGATGTAAACAGTAACAAATACCAGAGTTTAAGTAAATTCATTTTTTTCGTACATATGATCTCCTGAGATGATTCTGATCACTTGAGGATGTCAAAGGAATTTTCCAGATTAAATTTTTCTCTGCCAGGAGATTACATGGCTGTGATGTAGGGGTTTGAAAAGGAAGTTTCTGGTCTAGATTCTCCTTTTGTCATGAAAGAGACAGGCTTGATGAATGAGAGGGGTAGGTAAATGTTTTTCCCTTGGGGCTCTTTGAAACAATTTGTAATTGATATGAAGAGGTGGCTGAAAATACCCCCATGTAAATTCTCTTTTTTTTTTTCCCTTTGCTCTTCTCCCTTTTGAACAAGAGCTTGATTTTCTATTTGCATGTCTCTAATTGGCAGAGCTGAAATCATTTACGTAATGGACACTGCTTCAGCCTAGCATCCTTGATCTATAAGAACATAAGATATAGGAGCAGAATTAGGCCATTCACAGAATCCCTACAATGTGGAAAGAGGCCATTTGGCTATTCACCAACCCTCTGAAGAATATTCACCCCAGACCCATCCCCGCCTTATCCCCATAATTCCACATTACCATGACTAATCCCACTAATCTGTACATCCCTGGAAACTATGGGGCAATTTAGCATGGCCCATCCACCTAACATCTTTGGATTATGGGAGGAAACTGGAGGACCCAGCAGAAACCCATGCAGACATGGAGCAAAGTGTAGACTCCACACAGGCAGGCACCCAAGGCTGGAACCCAAGGCAGCAGTGTGAACCACTGAGCCACCATGCTGCCCTGCCAATCTACTCCGACATTCAATCATGGCTGATATGTTTCTCATCCCTATTCTCCTGCCTTCTCCCTGAAACCTATGACCCCTTACTAATCAAGAACCAATCTGCCCCTGTCTTAAAGACTCTCGACTTCACCTCCACAGTCCTTTGAGGCACTGAGTTCCACAGATTCACCATACTCTGGCTGAAGAAATTCCTCCTCATCTCAGATCTAAAGGGTCGACCCTTCAGTCTGAAGCTCTACCCTGAAGTCCTATTCTCTCCTACTAGTGGAAACGTTTCTCCACATTCATTCTATCCAGTCCTTTCAGTGTTCTGTAAGTGTTAATGAGATACCTCTTGTCCTTCTAAATTCCATTGAATACAGACCCAGAGTCCTGGATCATTCCTGATATGACAAGCCCTTCATTTCTGGGATCATTGTTGTGAACCTCCTTTGGGCTCCCTCCAAGGCCAGCATATCCTTCCTTAGATACGAGACCCATAACTGCTCATAGTATTCCAAAGGTGGTCTGACCAGAGCCTTGTGCAGTACATCTCTGCTGTTGTATTCTAGCCGCCATCAAAATGAGTTCTCAATTTGATTTTGACGTCCTAACTTCCAACACTGAATCATATGTTAACTTTAAGAGAATCCTGAACTAGGACTTCTAAGTCACTTTGTGCTTCAGATTTCTAAAGCCTTTTCCCATTTAGAAAGTAGTCAATGTCTCTATTCTGCCTACCAAAGTGCATAACCTCCCCCTTTCCAATATTGTATTCCATCCCCACTTTGCCCACTCTCCTAGCCCGTCCAAGTCCTTCTGCAGTCTTCCTGCCTTCTCAACACTACCTAGTCCTTCACCTATCTTTGTGTCATCTGCAAACCTAGCAACAATACCCTCAGTCCCAACACTGACCCCTGCAGAACTTCACTAGTCACTGGCTGCCTGAAGAAGACCCATTTATCCCCAGTCTCTGCCTTCTGTTAGCCAGCCATAGACAGATGAATACCTGTCCATGCCAGCACCTTGCCCCTAACACCAGGGTCTCTTATTTAGCAGCCTTCTGTGGGGAACTTTTTCAAATGCCTTCTGGAAATGCAAATAGATCACATTCGCTGACTCTTCTTTGCCTTCAAAGAACTCTAACAGATTTGTCAGACACAACCTCCCCTTAATGAAGCTGCCCTGACTCAGCTGTATTTTACTGTGCACTTCCAAGAGTTCTGCAGTGTCATCCTTAATAATGAACTCTAAAATCTGGCTGACAACTGAGGTTAGGCTAACTGGCCTATAATTTCCCATCTCCTCAGCTGTCTCCTTCAGAACTCTGGGGTGTAGTCCATCTGGTCTGGATGACTTATCCACCTTCAGACCTTTCAGTTTTCCCAACAATTTCTCCTTAGTGATGGCCACCTCACCTCTGCCCCCCTATCCTCTTGAATGTCTCGTATGCTACTAGTGTCTTCCACCGTGAAGACTGATTCAAAGTACATATTCGGTTCCTCTGCCATTTCTTTTTTTCCATTTAATACTTGTCCTGATTGATTTTTCAGCTGTCCAATGTCGATTCTTGCCTCTCTTTGACCTTTTAGATCTCTAACAATACTCTTGCAATCATCTTTTATATTTTTAACGAGCTTATCTCATATTTCATCTTCTTTTCTCTTTTTGCTTTTTTAATTATCCTCTGCTGATTTTTAAAGACTTTCCCATCCTCTGGCTTTCCATTAATCTTCACCATGTTGTTTTCTTTTGCTTTTATGCTGTCCCTGACTTCCTTTGCCAGACATGGTTGCCTCATTCTCCCCTTAATATGTTTCTTTCTGAATAGAATGAATTTCTGCTGTGCCTCCTGAATTACCATCAGAAGTTCCTGCCATTGCTGCTCCACTATATTCCCTGCTAGGCTCCCCTTCCAACCAGTTCTGGCCTGCTTCATATCTTTATAGTTACCTTTACTCAACTGTAATACTGTTACATCTGATTTCAGCTTCTCCCTCTCAAACTGCAGAGTGAATTCTGTTGCAGTCACTGCCCCCGAGGGGGTTCCTTCACCTTAAGCTCCCTAACCAAGTCTGCCTCATTAGACATCGCCAAATCTAGAATTGGCTGGTTCCTTGTGGGCTCTACCACAAACCACCAAAAGAATTTTTGTAGACATTCCACGAATTATTTTTTTTTGAGATTCGCTACCAAACTGCATATTGAAGTCCCCATGATTACTGTAATAGTGCCTTTCCTTGCCTTTTCTATCTCCTGATTAATTATCTGCCCCATTCCTGGCTACTGTTAGTGGGCCTGTATATAACTCCCATCAGAGTCTTTTATCCCTTCTGGTTCCTCAACTCTGCTCAGACGGATTCTGCACCATCTGATTCTATATCACTTTTTGCTCTTGATTTAATTTTATTTCTTACAAACAAGACCCCCTTCCCACTCCACTCATCTATCTGTCCTTTCAGTGGGATGCATGTCCTTGGATACTTAATTCCCAACACTGATCCCCTTGCATCCACATCTCTGTGATACCCGCAACATCGTGCTCAACAATTTCAATCTGTGCTACAAGCTTATTTACTTTGTTTCATACACTGCACGTGTTTAAGTGCAACACCCTCAGTCCTGCATTGACTTTTCCACCACCCCCAATCTCATAGTTGTCTGTCTATTTGTTGTGCCTGAAGTTAGATTCCTGACCCTTTCCATACTCCCTGTCCTCTTGTTCTTTAATAACCTCTCCTGAGCCTTTCCTTGCTTTTAGTGATTATTCACGCATAAATTTCTTGCAGTGATTTATTATACAGGTAATCCTCATTTAACATTGCCCAGTTTAACATTATCATGCTTGAACATTGTTTTTCTTTTAGAGCCTGTTTCTTTGAGTCATATAGCTATCATCACTTTTTTGCTGTATGGTGTGTATCACTTTGTCGAAGTCATAAGATGCTGAGACCTGATTGGTGCTATGAGAGCTGTTGACCATAACATGATCTTTGTTTGATTTAAAGGTTGGCATCACTTTGTTCACTGTGTCACACAGAAAATCTCTCTGGACTCACCATGAGGTCAGTACCAAACAGCTCAATTTTCAGCTTTTCAGACGAGCACATTAAGCTTTCGAGAGCATAATTTTAAACAACTGCATTTGACAGATGCTATCTAAGAAGGAGCTCTGCAGACAAGATGAACAATGTGCAACCCAATTCATGTTCGAATGTACCTGTAGAGTAGAACTAAGTCGTGATATTAAAGTTAGAAAAAGAGAAATGAAGGCACATGACCCTCCTAGTCACTGCAGACCTTCCCTCTCGCCGACACTCCCAGCCACTGCAAACTTTGCTCTTGTTGACCCTCCTAGAACTGCAGACTTTCCCTCTTATTGGCCTTCTTAGAACTGCAGGCCTTAGCAATGTAAAGTCTTTCAATTTAAAGAGTAAAATGTTTTAATATTTTCTGATGAAGAAGGTCCTACGGAATTACACATTCATCTTAGTATTTAGTGTGAAATCTAATTTGCTTAACATTGTTTAAAATTGTGCTTCTTAGGAACACAAATACATATTTTAGTGAGGACATCCTATACTTTAAAGTTATTTTGCAAAAAAAACAGATACAGGAACCACACTGTACCTATCTCATTTATACTTCTTTCACTATTTATCATAAGATCATAAGATGTAGGGGAGAAATAAGCCATTTAGCCCAGTGACTCTGCTCCACCATTCGTTGCAATCTGGTCTGATAATCCTCAGCTCCACTTTCCTGCCATTTCTCCATAACGTTTGATTCCATTACTCAGTAAAAATCAGTCTATCTCGGTCTCGAATATATAACAACGCAATCTTTAACGCCCTCTAAGGTAATGAATTCCACAGATTCACTGTCCTCTGAGAGAAGAAATTCCTGCTCATCATTTTAAATGGGCAGCCCGTTAGTATGAGGTTATGCCCTTTGGCCCTAGTCTCTCCCACAATGGGGAATGACCTTTCTGTATCTCTTCTGTCAATGTTGCCTCTCATTTCTTTAAATAGCAATAAGTATAGGCCCAACTTACTCAACCTCTCCCCATAAGACAGACTGTCACATTTCCAGGATCAACTAAGTGAACCTTCTGTGGACTTCCTCCAATGCCAGTATAGTGCCAAATGTCTTGTATAGAAAAAGCAAGATTTCCATATTTTTATATTCTATTTCCTTTGATAAAGAACATTCAATTTTCCCTTTCCATGCGCTTACATCGGAATTACTGTATGTTGGAGAGACGTAGTGCAGATTGGATGGCCACTTTTCCTTTCAGTTCACAAACACAATCCAGAACTTCCAGTCACCTGTCTTTCCTGGGACTCCTACATTGTACTGTTGAAGCTCAACATCATGATGGTTACTATACTAACTGGGACAAAGTAACCATAGTAGCCCAAGCCAAACATAGACATGCACGGGAATTCCTAGAGGCATGGTTCCCCATCAACACTTCAATCAACAAACATATAGAATTGGACCCCATATATAAACCCATACAAATCAAAACCAGAAATGACAGTACTCCCCATAACAGACCAGACGGTATAAATTCCAAGCGGAGTAGAATAACATCGCTTCGTCGGAGGCTGCACTGATGATGTCAGCTAGCATGGTGACGAAACTTCTGAACAAAGTAAGATAACAGCCTGTGGTTCTGGGGACCAGGTACTGGCATGGACAGAGGATTGGTTGTCTAGCAGAATGCAGAGAGTGGGGTTAAAATGATCTTTTCAGGATGGCAGCCAGTGATTAATGGAGTTCTGCAGGGATCTTTGTTGGGACCACATATAATCACGTTATGCATTAACAATCTGGACAAAGGAACTGAGGGCATTGTTACTAAGTTTACAGATAACACAAAGATAGGTGGAGGGACAAGTAGTGTTGAGGAGACGGGGAAGCTGCATTAAGGACTTGGACAGGCTAGGAGAGTGGGCAAAAAAGTGCCAGATGGAATACAATGTGGGAAATTGTGAGGTTATGCACCTTGGTAGGCAGAATAGAGGCATGGACTATTTTCTAAATGGGGAAAGGCTTTGGAAATCTGAAGCACAAGGGAACTTGGGGGTCCTAGTTCAGGCTTCTCTTAAGGTTAACATGCAGATTCAGTTGGTAGCTAGGAAGGCAAATATAATGTTAGCTGTCATGTTGAGAGTCATAGAGTCAGGGTCCCACAACATGGAGATAGGCCCGTCTGCCTAAACGGGTCCATGCCGAACAGAATGTCCATCCACGCTAACCCTATTTCCCTGCACTTGGCCCATATCCTTCTAAACCTTTTCTGTCCATGTATTCATTCAAATGCCTTTTAAATATTGTTAATGTACCCACCCCAACCACTTCTGCTGGCAGCTCATTCCATATGCATATCACCCTCTGAAAAATAGTTGCCCCTCAAGTACTCATTTATTCTTTCTCCCCTTACCTTAAACTGATGCCCTCTAGTCCTCAATTCCCCAACCCTGGGAAAAAGACTGAGTGCATTCACCCTATCCGTGCCTCTCATGATCTTATACATTTCTATAAGATCCCCCCTCAGTCTCCTACACTCTAAAGAAAAATGTCCTAGTTTGTCCAACCACTCCTTATAACTCAGTCCGTTGAGTCCTGGCAACATCCTTGTAAATTTCTCCAGCACTCTTTCCAGTTTAATAACATCCTTCCTATAGCAAGGTGACCAAAACTGAACACAATACTCCAAATGCAGCCTCACCAACGTCCTGTACAACTGCATCATAACTTCCCAACTTCTGTACTCAATGCCCTGATTGATGAAGGCCATGTGCCAAACACCACCTTCACTGCCCTGTTTACCTGTGACTCCACTTCCAGAGAATGGTGCACCTGCAGTCCAAGGTCCCTCTGTTCCACTACACTCCTTAAGGCCCTACCATTCACCTTGAAACTGCTACCTTGAATTTCCAAAATGCAACACCTCACACTTATCTACATTAAACTTCATTTGCCATTTCTCGGCCCACTTCCCCAGCTGATTAAGATCCTGCTGAAATTTCTGATAACCTTCCTCGCTGTCCACTATACCACCTATTTTAGTGTCATTCAAGAGGACTAGAATACAAAAGCAGCGGTGTACTGCTGAGGCTGTATAAGGATCTGGTCAGACCTCATTTGGAATATTTGTGAGCAGTTTTGGGCCCTGTATCTAAGGAGAGATTTGCTGGCGTTAGAGGAGGTTGAGGGTAGGTTTACAAGAATAATCCAAGGGATAAAGGCTTGTCACATGAGAAGTGATTGAGGACTCTGGGTCTGTACTCGACACAGTTTAGAAGGATGAGAGGGGAACTGATTAAAAGTTACAGAGTACTGAAAGGCCCGACAGAGTGGACACAAATGTGGCCTAACTAAAGTCCTATACAGCTGCGTCATGATCTGCCAATATTTATACTCTTATGCTCCGACTGATGAAGACAAGCATACCGTATGCCTTCTTGACCACCTCATCCACTTGTGTTGCCACTTTTAGAGAATTGTAGACCTGTAGACCTGTACACCTAGATCCCTCTGTATGTTGTTGCTCCTAAGGGTTCTGCCATTTAACCTATACTTCCTCCTGCATTAAATCTCCCAAAATGCATCACATTGCATTTGTCCAGATTAAACTCCATCTGCTATTTCTCCGCCCAAGTCTCTAGCCTATCTATATCTTGCTGTATCCTCTGGCAATCCTTCTCATTATCCACAACTTCCCCCACTTTTTCCGTTGCCTGCACACTCACTAAACAGGCCACCTCAATTCTCCTCCAAGTCATTGATATATATTACAAAGAACAGGGGTCCCAGCACTGATCCCTGTGGAACATCACAGGTCACTGATCTCTAATTTGAAAAATATCCAATGATTAAACCAGCTCACTGTAGATCCCATGTGATTTCACCTTCTATGTCAGCCTACCATGAGGGACCTTGTAAAAGGCCTTGCCAAAGTCCATCTAGGTTACATCTACCACCCTGCCCTCATCAATCATCTTTGTCACTTCCTCCAAATCAATCAAGTTTATGAGATACGACTTTCCCTGCACAAAACCATGTGCCTATCGCTACGAAGTCCATATTTTTCTAAATGTGAGTAAATCCTATCCCTAAGCATCTTCTGCAATAATTTCCCTATCACTGACATAAGCTGTAATTTCTCTGATTATCCCTGTTGCCCTTCAAAAACAAAGGAACAACGTTGGCTATTTTCCAGTCATCTGGGTCCTCTCCTGTGACTAAAGAAGATACAAAGATTTTGTACCACGCTCCAGTAATTTCCTCACCTACCTCCCGCAGCATTCTGGGATAGATCCCATCAGATCCTGGGGACCTGTCTATATTAATGCTTTACAAAACTCCCAACATATTTTTATTTTTATTTTTTGACATTCCCCTAGAATATCAACATACATCTCCCAAGCCTCATCACCTCCATGACCTTCTCCTTTGCGAGTCCAATAAAAAATATTCATTAAGGATCTCCCCCACTTCCTCCAGCTCCACGTGTATATTCCCTCCTTTGTTCTTGAGTGGACCTATCCTTTCCCTCGCTACTCTCTTGCTCCTTACATATGTATAAAATGCCATGGGATTTTCCTTAATCTTGTTTGCCAAAGACATTTCAGGGCCCCTTTTAGCCCTCCTGATTCCTTGTTTGAGTTCTTTACTGCTATTCTTCAAGGGCTCTGTCTGTCTTCAGTTTCCTAAACCTTATGTGTGCCTCATTTTTGTTTTTGATGAAGCTCTCAATTTCTCCTGTCATCAAAGGTTCCTGAATCTTGCCATCCTTATCCTTCATTTGCACAGCAACATGCTGGTCCTGAATTCTAATCAACTGGCCTTTAAAAGATTCCCTCATGCCAGATGTGGAATTACCCTCAAACAGGCACCCCAACCTACATTAAGAGATAACAAGGTGTAGAGCTGGATGAACACAGCAGGCCAAGCAGCATCATAGGAGCAGGAAGGCTGACGTTTCAGGCCTAGACCCTGAAACTTCAGTCATCTGGCCAGGCTCATTCCCCAATACCATGTCTAGTATGGCTCCCTCCCTAGTTGGACCATTTACATATTGTTTCAAAAAACCGTCCTGACATGCCGAACAAATTTTCCCCTCCATCCAAGCCCCTGGCACTAAGTGAGTCCCAGTCAATATTGGGGAATTTGAAATAACCCACCACAACAACCTAGTTGATTTACGTTTTTCCATAATCTGTCCACATCCTTTATCACTTGCTGGCTGTTGGGAAGCCTGTAGTACAATCCCTTCAGAGTGATTGCAATCTTCGTATTCCTGAGTTTATAGCCATTTGGCCTTGCTGGATGAACTCTCCAAGCTGTCCTCACTCAGTACAGCTGTGATATTCTCCCTTATCAGCAACACAACTCCCCCATCTCTTTTACATCCCTCTGTATTTCACCTGAACCATCTAAATCCCAGAACGTTAAGCTGCCAATCTTGTCCCTGTCTCTACCAAGTCTCTGTAATAGCTACAACATCATAGTTATAAGAATTAATCCAAGCCCTAAGTTCATCTGCTTACCTGCTGTATTCCTCTCATTAAAACAAGTACACTTCAGACTGCCAGTCCTGCCATGTTCAGTAACCTTTCCTTGACTGTTCTTCCTCTAATCCTTACTGACCTTAGTCTTGGACAACTCCTCAGTCCTTTTACCTGATGACCTACTACTCTGATTCTCACTCCCTTGCCACACTAGTTTAAATCCTTTCAAGTGGCACTAGCAAACCTCCCTGCCGGGTTAGCCACGCATTTAACTATACAATCTTCCTACTGCTAGTCTCACTGGCATGTGGTGCAAGAAGTAATCTGATATTCCATTCCTACAGGTCACAACCTCTGGCTGCTTATTGTAACCCCTCAGAATATCCTGTGCCCGACCAGACATTTCCTTGACCCTGACACCAGAGAGGCAACACTCCATCCTAAAGCCTTGCTCACAGCCATAAGAATGCCCATCTGTACCCTTTCACTTCTTCTCACCTACGGTTTGACCCTCCCTGCTGCACAACAGTGGCAGCTGTGGTGCCACTGATTGGACTGTTGCTGCTACTTTCCCCTGAGAGGCCATTACCTCCACCCTCCAACTGTATCCAAAACGGTATACCTGTTTGAGAGGGGAATGGCCACAGAGGACTCCTGCACTGCCTGCCCACTCTTCCTCAAGTCCCTGGTGGTCACCCAACTCTCCTCTGTCTGTGTAGACCTTACGGTGGTGAAACCAGCTCTCTTAAGGCATTCAACAAGGTACCTCACAAAAGGCTAAGCCTGAAGATAAGAGCCTACAATATTAGAGGTAATATATTGGCATTGATAAAGAATTTGCTAATGGATAGGAAACAATGAGTGGGAATAAGAGGTTCTTTTTCAGGTTGAGCTGTAACCACTGGGGTTCTACAGGAATCAAGGGTGGAACCGCAACTATTTACAGTCCATATAAATGACTCAGGGGCAGGGTCGGGGGTGAGTGAATGTACTGGAGCCAAATTTGCTGATGTCACAAAAATTGGAGGGATGGCAAGTTGCGAAAGGGATGCAAACAGTTTATAAAGAGCTATCGCTAGGTTAAGTGGACAAAACGATGGCAAATGGAATATAATGTGGGAAAATGTAAAGTTGTTCATTTTGGAAAAGAGAACCAAAAGAACAGCGATTGTTTAAATGGAGAAAAGCTGCAGAAAACTCGATCTCAAAGGGTTCTTAAGGCTACTTGTGCAGCAAGCACACACATCTAACAGGTGCAGTGCGTTATCAGTAAAACTAATGGAATGTTAACCCCTATTTCAAGGAATTTGGAGTACACAAGTAGAGAAGTGTGACTGCAACTGTACAACCTGCTGGTGAGACCACATCTAGAGCACTGAGAGCAGGTTTGATCCCCTTATTTAAGGAAAGATATTATTTCATCAGAAGCAATTCAGAGAAAGTTCACTTGGATGATCTCTGGTATGGATGGGTTGACTTATGAGCAAAAGCTAAACAGGTTAGAATTCTACTCACTGAAATTTAGAAGAATGAGAAGTGATCTCATTGAAATATGTATGATTTTTAAAGGTCTTGACAGGGTAAATGATGAAAGGATATTTCCCTCATGGGAGAGTCTGGGACTAGAGGGTGTAGTCTCAGTATAAAGGCCACCAATTTGAGACTGAGATGTGGAGGATTTTCTTCTTTGAAGTTGAGCTGTAACTGGTGAGGTTCCACAGGGATCAGTGCTTGGACTGCAACTATTTACAATATATATATATAAATGGCTTGGGGGAAGGAAGTGAATATACTAGAGCCAAATTTGTAGATGGCTTGAGAATCCTTGGAACTCCTTGCTAGAGAGATCTATGGGGGAAACAGTCTTTGTGCATACTTTTAGGTGGACGTAGATTCTTGATGGGGAATTGAGCGCTACGGGGAAAAGGAAGGAAAGTGGACATAGGAGGGGTCGGGTCAGCCATGATCCTATTTAATGATGGAGCAGGCTCAAGCGGCTGAATGGCCTACTCCTATTACTATTTCTTACAGTGTACTAGTCTTGTATTCAGTTCATTCCTTTCATTGCAGGTTAATAGCTCGCAGTGGAACTATTGGTTGTCTGAAGTAAAGGCTTGAAGTTGAAGAGTCAGGTTCAGCTGTTGCAATAGAGTTTGCCTTTGTGGGTGGACTCAGTAAGTTGAGCAGCTGAGGGGAATGGGTGTAGGTCGCTTTTCCTTACTGTTTCTGCCACCGTGACACTTGAAGATTGTCTGAGATTCCACTTGGGCAGAACTAGGATGATTACTAGACACCACCCTTTGAAACTGTGTCTGTCAGAGAGAAAATCTAACTTTCATACAATTCATAGTTAGTTTAGCTGAGAGCTTTTGCCTGGAATGGTGCTCTGAGCCTCTCCTGAGGTATCTGCACAAAAAATAGCTATTCTCAGCTATGCTGTATATGGTTCAAAACTCAGAATGGTGGTATGCAATTCCAATGTGCCATTGTTCCACAGAAAAAGGTGAGCAAGTTAATTATTGCTGGAATCCCTTTTGAGGTATCCTGCTAAAACCTTGCTACTATCACGAAAGCTATAATTTTTCACACTTTCTGAATATTAAATTGTGTTCTCTGAGGCTCATTGAATATCAACTGTCTTTGTAATCCTTCTGTGAGAAAAGTATAGTGTGTTTCCTCCAACAAGTTGATGACTCGTGAATCCACAAGAGAAGTTAAGTGACTTTTGGTAGCCATTTCTTTTAAGGCTCTGTGTCCACTTAAAGATTGACTTTTATACAAAATCTTTCAATATCATAACCACCCTGTTTGTAACATATTACATTACTACAGTTTTCTGTTCTGGTGAAGGTTATCAACCTGAAACATTAACTCTATTTCTTGTTTCACAGATGCTGCCTAACCTGCTGAGTATTTTCAACATTTTCTGTCTTTAGCAAAGTTCAATCAAAGTTTAAGCTCATTATTATGACTAAGTCAGTGTTGATTTCAAGTTCTCAACTCTCCTAACTTTGAAGGGCCATTCCATTCATTTAATACAGATCCTGGGATATTCTTCTTGTTTGTCCAGGGGTTGTCTAAAGTGAATAAGCCTAGATGTTAGCTCCCATTTGGATAATTAGGGATGGAGAATAAATGCTGGACTAGCCAGAGACACCCATATCCTGAATGCATTTTAAAAACGTAGCATTTCATCATTTCTCTTCATTTTTCTGAAATTCTCTCATATCAACAATGATATAGATTTGTATAATGCACTCGATGTTGGAAAATACCCCTGTCAGCCTTTTACATTTACATTTTAAAGTCAGTTTTGGCGAGGAGCTGGAATGCCTGATCTGCAGGTGAGTTTCTGAGCTAAGCTTGGGCCATCCAGAAAGAGAGAGGGTGGAAATGAGAGAGTTTTCCCTTAGTACGAGAGAAGAAGCTGACTTATGCTGTTTTCATCTACCTTCTGGGGCTAATTCCAAAATGTTGCAAGATGAGGCAGAATAGATATTCACCTTAATCATTATGCAATGAAAGCACATTGAAAAATAGGAAGAAAATTGAGGTGGAGGATATAACTTTGAGCATAAATGTTTAGTATCATTTGACTTTGTATTTGAAGCAATGAAAATCCAGGATTATAACAGGCTCAATAGTATTATGGTTAAACACTTTTATTTTCAAAATTCACTTTTTTGCTCCTTTTCCAAAATTTACCGTGTCATAGATAAGAGTTTGACTTCTCACTGTTAAACTCTAATTGAAACAAGTAACAATAGTCTTTGACTTTTTCAATAATTAGAGTCCCATCATTTGCTTTCTGTATTTTGAACTGTAGACTTTATTAAAGGCACATTGGACCTCCTGGTTTCGCAAAGGTTAAAGCCTTGCTCAAACGAGCAAAGCCTTCTTTTGAAACTGTTAAATTCATTTTACGCTTCAAAACACGACTTTAGATTGTTATGAAAATGTTTCAACAACTTAAATTCTTACCACACTTACTCCAAGTCTGAGTTGATATGAACCTTTACAGATTGAACATGCTGGTGACTTGGAAACTGAGTAATAATAATGCTAGAATGGGTTGCCTTACGAAAGGCCTTATGTTACATTAATACAGTGGATATTTGTGTGCATGGTTATGAAGTATTGTGGGTCACTAGCACCACATTCTAAGTTGATTATTAATATCAGTATTTAAGGGTGATTGTGGTTTATTTTGATTTTGTATATTTGATGTTTTGAGGTGATTTAGTATATAATCTTTCTTTCTGTTCCCAGTACTACCTACACATGGATGGCAGAGGCAATTATGAATTTAAGCCAATTACTGCAGATACAGTGGAATTTGGTTCTTAAACTCCATCTGCCAATTTGATTATGGCGGAACGGACTGAATTGCAGAATAAATCTGTTCAATATGCATTCTCTTGTACACTAACTTAATACTTCAACTTGTAATTAATGTCAGTTTGAAAAAATGCTGTAAAAATGAATAATTACATTGATTAATTTGTAGTCTTGTTGAGAGTTGTATATTTGGAAATATTAACATCTAGTAAAATCCATCTAGGAAATGTTTGAATTAATAGCTTTAATTAAGATAAATTAAAATGTTTTATGTACAGTACAAATGAAGTAATCTAGGAATGCACTGCTGAATCGCATGTTCATGATATGCAATAATTTGATATCTACAAGTCATTTCCTAATGTTTTACAGAAAAAAATAAACTGAAAACTTAATGTGTTTTTTTTTGCTGTATGACCAATTAATTGCCTTTGTGGTCAACAATGCATAATATTTCGCTTGGATCACTAAACATGAAAACAGCCCACTTATTTGGAGTGGCACCCGTGAAAGAGCCGGTTATAGACATATGAGCAATTCATTTAAAGAAAACAGGAGCCGAAAGAAACTTGTTTTGGGCTCCATTGTTTTAAATCGGTTACAAGCAGTCAAATTACGAAGCTATTGATTCTCAGTCTTCTCGAGGAGTCTCACATGCAAAGTTTACAATTTTAAAGCGTATAAATGATAAGAAAATCTGTTTTTTTTCTTCCAATTGACTTCAGATGTTTCTTTATAATTCGTAGCCAATACGAATTGGCTGCAAAATTTATAAAGCTTTATTGGATTTATACGATGGAGAGATGACCACTGAATAGTGAGGGGTAAAGAAAGAGGAGTCTCAGAACAGTAGAACACACAATTCATGACACCATGAACCAAGATTCTTTTGCCTTTTGCAGGCTTTTCACGATTCAATTATGATGCAGTGCTCTATGAGCCGCAGGGAAGAGTTCTCATAATGAAAAATTCCTTAGCTACATGTTTTTTTGTATTCTACAATTTTGATAACTACACTTCCGTGTTTATGACTGATAAATTTTGAAAGGAAAAGCATCTTTCAACAATGTCTTTCCGGAGGTCTTGTCACGCAATCAGGCGTGTTGCTAAACTCAGTTCATTGGCTCTTACCGATCGTGTATAATTGAATGGGCGCTGTTCTGTGGCAACCGCCGCATTGCGCTTTGAGAAAAACGTATGCTAGCTCATATCACCTGCGTTTTGATTAATCCATTGACCTGCGAATTGATCATGGACCCATTTAAACGAGTGCTTCAATTGATAATAGCTTATTTGCAGTTAGTGGTGTCCTTTCCCCGAGAAGGTAAATTTCGTTCGATGTATAATAATTGTATAATTTTACTTGGGATCCTCTACGTCTTCTATACTATCTTGAATAAAAAAGCAACGTTACGTAGTGTCTATTATCATTGCCACTTTTGGAACTGTTTAATATGCAGAAAGCTACTTGGTTTGGAATCAATTATTTTCTCAAGCTATAATTGGAAAATAATTAAACAGTTCCAAATTCCCAATTAACATTGCACATTTTTAAATATAATTTAAGTTAACGTGTTCAGTTTAAAATAAGTAATTTGAATTGTGATTAGGCTTTGTTTCCATGGCCTTTTCTGCTTGACGTTTTTAAACTGCTATTGATGTGCAACTAAGGAAATATGTTTGGAACATATATAATAGACAAGGGTGGGGGATGTGGAGTGTTTCACCACGTTCAAGATTGAATTCTGTAGTTAGATGTATCTGTTGCAATTTAAGATAGTCATATACAATATTGTCAGGCATGCATTCCCAGATATCACAGTCACCATCAACAACATACCCCTTCCTTAACTACAGAGATTTTGCTGACTTGGAAATACTTTCTCCAATGACTGGATGTCAAAATCAACCATTACCTGGCAAAAAAAAGCTCACCATATGGCAGGCTTACACACAGACTTTGGAAAGAATATGGTGTTTGTTTCAGAACAAAGATCAAAGTGTCCTGTGCAGTGCTTCTTGCATTACTTCTTTATGGGTGATAGATTTGGACAAACTATTGGCATCAAATAACTTTGCTATCTGATATCTATTTGTAAAGTCAGGTGAAGTCTTCACACCAAGATTCTTGCAAAGTATTGCATACCCAGCATTGCGAGAATACTTTTACCAGAGCTCAGCTTTGCAGAGATGGCTAAGTGGTGTACGGAGCATCTGAATACCAAAAGCAGTAGCCCACAAATAGCTGAGCAGGGGAACTTGTATTACAGGATGTTCCAAACTAAGATACAGAGTCTCAAACCCAACCTCCAATATTACAAGTTGGATTGCAACATAAAGGGGAACAAAACAACCTTGGACAGATCCAGGGGTCTCTCCTCATTGGTAAAAGAAGCAAAAGTGACATGATGAAAAACATTTTCGTGTTTGTGTCAATAATACTTATTACTAAAGTTGCAGAGAGTTGGAAATTATGCAGGGATTTCTCTGCATATGTGCTGGGTTGCTGGAAGCTGCTATCTTTTCACCATCTTCGTTTGTACAACTACTTAATTTCAAGTGGTGGTGGGGGAACTGTTGATGAGAGTCAGATGGGAGGGATCCTGATTGGATACTTTGAGTGTATGTAATTCCTTATGTAACAAACACAAATTGTTGGAGAGACTCAGCAGGCCTGGTGGCAGCTGTGGAGAGAGGGAGACTTCTTCAAAACACAAAGAATAAAGTGCTTTATGTTTTATTTCACATTTCCAGCAACTACAGTATTTTGCTTTTATCAATCTGTGTAGTTTTACTGTTTAAAAATAGTAGTCTGCTGCAAATTCTTAAAACCTTCATTGGTGATTCTGTGTTACACAGTCCAGATGTAATAACATTTTAATGTTTTGTTCTTCTGTTTGGTTACAAGTCTGTGACATGCGATTTATTGCATTTGGAGACTGGGGAGGTCTGCCTGATCCGCCTTATGTAACGATTGTTCAGAAAGCCATAGCAGATGAGATGGGGAGAGTTGCACAACATATAGGAACAGATTTTGTAATTAACGTTGGAGATAATTTTTACTACCATGGTGTGAATGATGTAAATGATTTCAGATTTAAGGTAAATTGATTTATTCATTCATCTTGGGTGTGTATAAATGCAGGGAAATCTCTTTGCAAAGGCTCAAGAATGTGTTTCACTTAGTGAATATACAGTAATGGTAAAGGTTCCCAAAGTAGCTTGGCTAGATGCTGCCATCTCCAATTGTATTTGGATTCATTATGGAAGGTTGCAACAGCAGCAGAATGCACAGTAAAACCTTCTGCAGTTAATGAGAGAAGACAGTATGCTGATATTTTAATTATCTGCATTCTAAGTGGATCCTAAACCCAAAAACTTGTCTGTTGACAATTAGGTAATTCCAGCAAAGTAACAACTGTTTAAAGGTTATGCCATGTTTACATTTTTAAGCTGCATTTACTCTTTCTAATAATGTATTCTATCCATGAATTCCTGATCTAAAATTGGCAATCATTTATGTAAATTTATAGTAATATATAAAAGATATTTGATGAGACAGCGAAATACAGCTTCTGTTAAACATTGAGTTCCCATATAAATGGTGATTATGAAACTAATTAAGTCCATGTCATGTAATACAATTTGTCTGGCTAATGTAAATTATTTTCGTGAACCTTAGATGTTGCAGAATGAAATGGAAAATTTACATTGGAGCTTAATGGTTGACAGGACTATAATCGCAAGCCATTAGCTAAACCACCATTGTGAATTTTTAAACCACATGTCTACTGTAAAGCAATTAAACATCCTGGAGGTTAAATACAGTGAGCCAAAACAAAAAAAAACTTGATCATGTAACATTATGAAATCATGTCTATTATAATTCAATTTGTCAGATTAACATTTAGAATTTTGCTGACAAAAATTCTAAAATGACTAAATAGAGTCATTGAAGGGAAGTTAACTGCATCAAGAATCAATAGATTTTCTATTTTAAAATATACTCTGCTTTATAAAGCAATGTTCAGTCATAATATTCAGTTTAAAAAAAAGTTTTTTTTTTCTGACTTATGAACCAGCTATTTATCTTCAGTTCTTCTACATTTATGAATCATTGTAAATTAACTCTCCTCCCACATCTATCACTGATGCACTCCGTCGCTGACATAGATTTTTTAAATTATCTAAATAGGAGACATTTGAGAATGTATTCACAGCTCCGTCCCTTGCCAATATTCCGTGGTATATTCTGGCAGGAAACCATGATCATTTGGGTAATGTTTCAGCACAGGTTGCTTATTCTGTGGTCTCTAAGAGATGGTAAGTGATTCTGAACATCTGTTCATGTGATATAGTACTTTTAGTTTAGAAAGGCAGAATCAATGATGTCGTCTTTCCCAGAAATCTAGTAATCGATCCAAGGAATCTACATCGGTTGGAGACATCTGGTTAATTAAGTAAGCAGATGTAGAAACCCGTGATGGTTTCAATCTTCATTCCTTTCTATTGTGGACAGTATAGATTTTAAAAAGGTTTATTACCAATTGGACATTGTGCCACTAAAAAGGGGTGTCATCCAATCATGAATTAACATTCTATAAGCCCGTCATTAAACACAACTTCTTTTGAAGATTCTACAAGAGCTTTTGTATCTGATATTTCCTTTCCGTGCAACCTAGCAACTTCAAGTGGTTTTGAATTTTCTTGTAATTATGAAGAATTAATTAGCATTTCCATTTTATCTACCCCATTTACATTTTCACCTTGGCAATACTGTAATTCTTTTGACTTGCCGACTTTGAATATTATTTGTTCTGGAAGACAGCCAAACTCTTGTGTGAAAATGGTGATGCAGCAAACTGTGAAGCATCTGACCAAATGGTAAATATTTCGTGGGATTCAACTCCTTTTGAAGAAGCACATTATAAAGTATTTGTCTTGTACAACAATTAGTTTAGCATTTAATGTTTAGTTTGAGGATGTATCAGCTGGATAGATTGTTCATTCCTTCCTGCTACAAGTGGGCCAAGCATGGCCAGATGTTCCAAATTAGACTTTGCTCCTTTTTGGAGTGGATTTTTGTTCAAGAAAAACACTGAGTGAGGTTTCGTTGTTATATAACAAGTGATTTAAACACGTGCACTGCGCAAAGATTTAATTAATCCTTATAACCATTAATGAGAAACTGTAACTTAGAGGAATGATTGATTGCCACCTTCTGTCAGAGGCCCTGTACATACTGCCATGCTGTGTTGTTGGCCAGGCAAATGGTTTTGTGTTCACTGACACCCAAGAGCATGTGTGGCAGCAGCAAAATTTTTGAAATAAAGAGTGATAAAAATCTAACAAACCCTTAATAATGAAAAAGAAAATATATAGGTAAAAAGATAAAGATTGTCCTGCCCTCCTTCCTCTTTTATTCCACTCATGAGTCCTCTTTGGCTGGCTAGGTATCCTTGCTCCAGTCTCCTCCCGGTATCATGGTAATGATCTCTGATTCTATTCCCCACAGCTTGTTAAAGACACTGTTGTGTTAGCGGAAGAGACCTAGACATTTCATCATACCCAACATAAACTGGGATAGTCATGATGTTAAGGGTTTAGTGGGGGCTGATTGTTTGAAATGTATCCAGGGGAGTTTTTTGTACCAATTCGTAGAATGCCCAACAAGGGACAGTGAAGTGCTGAATCTGGTTCTGGGGAAAGAAGCCGGACAAGTGTTCAATGTGGCAGTGTCTTTACCTTTGCCTTTGCCTTTAGCAAAGGTGACCACAACACTGCAGTTCAAATTTGTTCTGGACAAGGAAAAAGATGGCCTACAAAAGATTGCTTGGGATTGTGGGGAGGTAGATTTTATTAAAATAAAGAAAGATCTGGCCACGGTAGACTGGGAACAGCTCCTTGCATGTGAGTCTACAGCAGAGCAGTGGGAGGCACTCGAAAAGGAGCTGGGGAGAGTACAACATGCCCAACATGTACCCTTTAGAGGGAAATGTAGCAGCAATAAATTCAGAGAACCCTGGATGTCTAGCACAATTAGGAGTGGATGAGGAAGAAAGGTAGGGCTTTTAGTAAGTCCAAAGGGAACAATTCAGCTGCAGACCTAGAGGAATACAGAAAGTGCGGGAAGGAAATTAAGAAAGCAATTAGAAAAGCAAAAGGGGGGCATTGAAAAGGACTTGAAAACGGGATTAGGGAGAATTTGAAGATATTTTATAAATACATTAAAGGGAAGCAGTTAACCAGGGAAAAAGTAGAGCCTATTAGGGACCAAGGGGGCAACCTGTGCATGAAGCTGTAGGATATGGGAAGGGGGTTGAATGAATACTCCTCTTCAGTCCTTCCTTATGAAAAGAAGAACGTAGACACTGGATTCAGGAAAACAGTCTGTGAGGAACTGGCACAGTTTGACATGGGAACTGGGGAGGTATTGGAGGCTCTATTGAGCTTAAACACTGACAAATCCCCTGGCCCGGATGAATTGTATCCCAGGCTGTGTGGGAAGCGAGGCAGGAAATTGATCGGGCTCTGACACAAATTTTTAATTCCTTTCTGGCCACAGGGGAAGTACCAGAGGACTGGAGGATGGCTAATATGGTTCCACTTTTTAGAGATGAACCAGAAAACTACAGACTGGTGAGCTTCATGTCAGTGGTAGGGAAACCATTGGAGAAAAATCTGATGAGAGTATTAATAAACACTTGGAAAAGTGTGGGTTAATTAGGGATCATCAGCATGGCTTCATCAGAGGGAGGTCATGCCTAACAAATTTGTTAGAATTTTTTTGAAAATGTGATCATGTGTAGTTGAGGGAAGTTCAGTTGATGTAGTTTATATGGATTTTAGTAGAGCTTTTGACCAAGTTCCACATGGAAGACTGATTGAGAAGGTTAAACCACGTGGAACTGAGGTAAACTTGGTGAGAGGGATCAGAAGCTTGTTTAGTAATAGAACACAGAGGGTGGTGGTAGAAGGCTGTTTGACTGACTGGAGGCTGGTGTATAGTGGTGTACCACAAGGATCAGTACTGGGACCCTTATTGTTTGTTATATATATAAATGATTTTGATGAAAATGGGCCGAAGGGCCTTCATTGTATGAAACTGTGATTCTAGAGATGCCCTCCCCTAACAAGGCCATCTGCTGTCAGAGGCTCCACTACAGTCAGTTGGCTGCCGATCAGAAAATGGAAGCATCCAATAGTTATTAAGCAGCTAGCCTTAAAGAAGATAGAATTTTATTTGAAATTTGGATCTGCAGCACAGTAGTTGTGTGGACAATGTTATTCAGTCCCAAGGTGCAGATTGGAAAGTTGCTCCAAGGATGTTTTCTGTCGTTTGAAACAGAGGACATATGTCCTGAGAAACCAGACTGTTGGGTCTCCCCCTGAGTCAGTACAAGGCAACATATAGCATGTCAACTTTAGTAGACACTGAAACATATGGAGCATTTGTCAGAATTATCGATGTTTGAACAGCAAGTTGAGGATGGTTTTCCCTGCAGTCACTTGAAAGTTCAAACATCTGGTGAAGGAACTGATTTACATATTTTCCAATGCACGTAAGCCCATGGAAAGGTATGTCCTGCCAGTAAAAGCAGCCATCAGGACATTGGGTGTGGAAGGAACACAGTGCGCAGAGCCTAAATAAATTTATGTCACATTAAAGTCAGTCACTTCTATTGTATTTATGTAGTTAGAGAAGCCAACTGTTCCAGAACAAATGCAGTTTATTCAGGTATTTACAAACATGACAATGCTTAGAAATCAGGATCCAGGTTAGCTATCTTTTCACTCAAGAGTTTGGAATTAAAGCTGACAGCAGTCCAGTCCAGTTCGGATTAAATGGCTATACCATTTGTTGTAGGAACTTTCCAAATCTCTACTATGAATTGGATTTTAAGGTTCCTAATATCAGCGTTTCTGTCACTATTCTGATGATCGATACTGCTGTGATTTGTGGAAACACCTATGAAGCCAACCAGCCAGATGGACCTGAAAATCCCCAGTTAGCCAGGGAGCAGCTACAGTGGATCCAGCAAAAACTCGCACATTCCAGGTAACATCAGAAAGTTAAAAGAAGAAGTCGCATCCAGAGTAGAATTTTGTAGAATAAAACTAACATTACCAAATTGGCTTATACAAGAGACAAGACAGTGTGTGGGTTAACACACTGTCTTCACATTTATCAGGGTAGGTTGTGTGAGCATTTGAGGAGGATAATACTTCATGAGTGGGAAAACAGTGTAAACGGTACAATAGTTATAAAGGTAAATGGTGAGTGGAGAGTGATTTATTGCTGCTTTTGTGGTCTGAATTGAGTTTGAATAGTATCTAGTCCTGAAAAGATCGTAGAGTATTCTGTAGTGAGAGTCCATCTAGTATTTGTCCTTTTAACAGGAGTTGTCTATCTAATCCCTTTTCTCTTTCCTAACTCTGTATCCTGAGGGAAAATGTACTGTCAGGTAAATTGTCTGTGATTTGTTGGCTTCTGTTTTAGGTCTGACTATTTGATTGTTGCCGGTCACTATCCAGTGTGGTCAATAGGACAACATGGTCCGACTCCATGTCTGGTAGATCAATTAAGACCACTTCTAAAGCAATACAATGTGACAGCCTATATCAGTGGCCATGATCATAGCCTCCAGGTAGGAAATATTGAATCAACTTTCATTATTATATTATCCCACTTTTGCAATTGTGGAACTTTAATTTGTGACTTTTGAAAGCATTAGCTGCACGATTTTTATGGATTTATTCAGGATGTTTCAAACATGTTAATATTCTTCATTATTAATTAAATTACAAGACTTGATACTGTCCAGTTAAGTGCTTTTATATATGAAGTCCATTCTCCTGAAATCACACGTCGTGAATGCATTTAATAATCCACTTCTGTAATTTGCAAACATACCTAGTTGTAGAACATATTTATTTGTAGCCAAGATCTTTCTGTACCTCCACAAAGAGCCAGGAAACCTCCCAGAACTAAGACACTCGACAACTCGATGAAAGCTCTACTTTTACTCACAGAAGGAGCAGTTCTTCCAGTGCTAAGTATTTCTGCATATTCATGACTTGAAAATTGTGGATAAAACTCTTTACTTGCTGATTAAAAAAAACTAACGTGCTGCAGACAATAGTCGTTGAAATAAAAACAGGCAATGATTTGATTTATTATTGTCATGTGTTCTGACATACAGTGAAAAGTAGTGTTTTGCATGCTATCCAGGCAAATCATACCTTATTTGAATAATTCAAGGTAATGGGATAGAATGCAGAGTATAGTGTTACAGCTACAGAGTAGGTGCAGAGAAAGATCAACTCTCATTTGTGAGAGGCCTGATCATAAGTATGAAATCAGTGAGGAAGAAGCTGTTTTTGGATCTGTTGGTACGTTTTCAAACTTTTGTATCTTCTGCCCGATGGAAGAGGATGGAAAAGAGTACAACTGGGGTTGGAGGGTCTTTGATTATGTTGGCTGTTTACCTAAGGCAGCGGGAAGTGTACATGGAATCAATGGATGGAAGGCTGGTTTGCATGATGGACTGGGCTGCATTCACAACTCCGTAATTTCTTGTGGCCTTAGTCATAGAGCCATAGAGATGTACAGCACTGAAATAGTCCAACTCGTCCATGCCGACCAGATATCCTAAATTAGTCTAGTCCCATTTGCCAGCATTTGACCCATATCCCTCTAAACCCTTCCTGTTCATATACCCACCCAGATGCCTTTCACATGTTGTATTTGTACCAGCCTCTACCATTTTCCCTGACAGCTTATTCCATATACGCACCACCCTCTGCATGGAAAAAGTTGCCCCTCAGATGCCTTCTAAATCTTTCCTGTCTCACGTTAAACCTCTGCCCTCTAATTTGGACTCCCCTAACCTGGGGAGAAGACCTTGGCTATACACCCTATCCATGCCCCTCATGATTTTATAAACCACTATAAGGTCATCCCTCAGCCTCCAACACTCCAGGGAAAATGGCCCCAGCCTGCTGTGATGCATCCAGATATGATGCTTTCTACGGTGCATTTATAAAAATTGGTAAGAGTCATTGTAGACATACCGAATTTCCTTAGCCTTCTGAGGAAGTAGAGGCGTTGGTGTGGTTTCTTGACTGTTGCGTCGATGTAGACTGTCGGTGGTACATTGTTGGTGGTATTTACTTCTAGGAACTTGAAGCTCTTGACCTCAGCACCACTAATACAGACAGCGGCGTGCCCTCCACTCCACTTCCTGATGTCAACAACCAGCTGCTTTGTTTTGCTGACATTGAGAGAGAAATTATTGTGCTGGAAATGCTGAAAATATTCAGTTAGTCAGGCAGTCTCTGTGGAGAAAAACTGATGTTCCAAAGAAGTGTCATCGAGCTGAAAAGTTAATGGTGTTTCTCTCCATCCGTAGCTGCTTTATTTTCAGTTTGCATGTTAAATACTGCTATATAGACGCATACCATTTCAATTTTCTGCTCATGTCCCTCATGTATACCGCTGGAATAAACCCCAGAACAGATTGAGTCATTTGTTAGGAAGTCAGTATTGCAAGTTAGACAGGCCTGAAGGTTGAGCTGGGGGTATCTGCCCTTGTTACATACGATGCCCATTTTGTCCAAACTGAAAGATTGAAATGAAACTGAATGAACATAGATGTCACGTTCAGGCACAACCCCTAGTTATTGGGCAAAGAAGTGGCAGATGGAATACACTGTGGGAAAATGTGAGGTTATGCACTTTTACAGCAAGAACAGAGGCGTAGACTATTTCCTAAATGGGGAAAAGCTTCGGAAATCTGAACCACACGGGAACTTGGGAGTCTTAGTTCAGGATTCTCTTCAGGTTAACATGCAGATTCAGTTGGAAGTTAGGAAGGCAGTGCACTGTTAGCATTCATTTGAAGAGGGCTAGATTACAACTGCAGTAATGTACTGTTGAGGCTGTATCAGGCTCTGGTCAGACCGCATTTAGAATATGGTTAGCAGTTTTGGGTCCTGTACCTAAGAAAATATATTATGGCGTTGGAGGTGGTCAAGAGGAGGTTTACAAGAATGATCTCAAAGATGAAGGACTTGCCAAATGAAAAGTGGTTGAAACTCTGGGTCTGTACTTGATGGAGATTAGAAGCATGAGTGGGGGTCTCATTAAAACTTAGAGAATACTGAGAGGCCTAGATAGCAATTTTTTTATTATTCATTTATAGGATCACTGGCCGGCCAGCATTTATTGCCCATCCCTAGCTGCCCTCGAGAAGGTGGTGGCGAACTGCTTTCTTGAACCGCTACAGTCCACTTGCTGTGGGTTGATCCACAATGCCATTAGGGAGGGAATTCCTGGACTTTGACCCAGTGACAGTGAAGGAGTGGCCTTATATTCCAAGTCAGGATGGTGAGTAGCTTGAGGGGAACTTGTTCTCATGTATCTGCTGCCCTTGTCCTTCTAGATGGAAGTGGTTGTGGGTTTGGAAATTGTTGTCTGAGGGTCTTTGGTGAATTTCTGCAGTGCATCTTGTAGATAGTACATACTGCTGCTACTGACCATCGGAGGTGGAGGGAATAGATGCTTGTGATGTTGTGCCAATCAAGCAGGCTGCTTTGTCCTGGATGGTGTCAAGCTTCTTGAGTGTTGCTGGGGCTGCACTCATCCAGGGAAGTGGGGAGTATTCCATCATACTCCTGACTTGTGCCTTGTCGATGATGGACTGTCTTTGGGGAGTCAGGAGGTGAGTTACTTGCCGCAGTACCCCTAGCCTCTGACCTGCTCTTGTAGCCACTCTGTTAATGTGGTGAGTCCAGATGAGTTTCTGGTCAATGGTAACCCCCAGGATGTTGATAGTCGGGGATTCAGTGATGGTACCATGGGGCAGTGGTTAGATTGTCTCTTATTGGTAACGGTCATAGCCGGGCATTTGTGTGGCGCGAATGTCACTTTTTACTTGTCAGCCCAAGCCTGGATATTGTCCAGATCTTGTTGCATTTGAACATGGACTGCTTCAGTATCTGAGGAGTCACAAATGGTGCTGAATATTGTGCAAACATCAGCAAACATCCCCACTTTTGACACTATGATGGAGGGAAGGTCATTGAAGCAGCTGAAGATGGTTGGGCCTAGGACACTAGCTTGAGGAATTGCTGCAGAGATGTCCTGGAGCTGAGATGACTGACCTCCACAACCATGACCATCTTCCTATGTGTCAGGTATGACTCCAACTACTGGAGAGTTTGCTCCCTGATACCCATTGATTCCAGTTTTGCTAGGGCTCCTTGATACCACACTCAGTCAAATGCAGTCTTGATGTCAAGGGCTGTCACTCTCACCTCACCTCTGGAATTCAGCTCTTTTGTCCATGTTTGAACCAAGGCTGTGATGAGGTCAGGAGCTGAGTGTCCCTGTTGGAACCCAAACTGGGCATCACTGAGCAGGTGCCACTTGATAGCCCTGTTGATGACACCTTCCATCACTTTACTGATGATCGAGAGTAGGTTGATGGGGTGGTAATTGGCCGGGTTGGATTTCTCCTGCTTTTTATGTACAGAGCAATTTTCCACATTGTTGGTTGGATGGACCAGCTTGGCTAGGGGAATGGCAAATTCTGAAGATGGTGTTTCCACTACTAGGAGAGACTAGGACCTGAGGATACAGCCTCAGAGTGAAGAGACGACCCGTTAGAACTGAGACGAGGAGGAATTTCTTCAGCTACAGGGTGATGAATCTTTGGAAATCATTGTCACAAGAAGGCTGTGGAGTCCAAGTCATTGAGTGTTTAAGACAGAGATAAATAAATTCTTAATTAATAAGGGGATCAAGAGTTAAGGGGAAAAGGCAGGCGAATGGGGTTGAGAAATGTATCATCCATGATGGAATGATGAAACAAACATGATGGGCCAAATGGCTTAATTCTGCTAAGACAACTAATGGTCTTTTGGAACAGTGGGGCATGATTATCAGTGCACTATTTTCACTTAATTCATGACAACAATATGTTGATTTTAAAATTCTTATTCTTGTTTTCATATCCCTCTTTCTGTAACTTCCTTCAGCTCTATAGCACTTAGAAATTTCTGTGGCTTCCCCAGTTCTAGCATCTCTCCCTCTCTCCGTGTCTAATGAGAGAGCAGCCCTATGGTCTGGGAAGACTTTACTTCTGCTAATCCATTAGTGACTGTGCCTTGAACCTCCTGGAATCTGGGCACTGGACTTCCTTCCTAAAGCCTCTCAGTTTCTCAATCCCTCTCCCCTCCTTAAAACACCTTTGAGCACATGTCCTAATGTCTCGTTTTGGGGCTCAATATTTATTTGGACAATCACTCCTGTGAAGGACCTTAGGGATGTCTTATTACATTAAATGTGTCGGTCATGGGAGGCAATGGCCAAGTGGTTATATTGCTGGACGTTAATCCAGAGACCCAGGCAATGTTCTGGGGACCCGGGTTCAAATCCCATCATGGCAGATACTGGAATTTGAATTCAATAAAAATGAATGAATAAAAAAAATGGTTGTTGTTTTAACAACATGGGAAGACTGAACATGGAAATAAAATGCATTGGCCCTGATCTCGAGGAGATAGTTTGAGACTAAATGTGCTTTGCGATCTCGTGGAGATCCATTTGCACTGACTATATGGGAATTCCCTGGGAAGCTTAAATTTCTTATGGAAAACTACCCGGCCTTTGGATCTCTTTGAAAATACCGTCAACTTTGAGTTAAAGGTGGAGACTATTTACATTAGAAAGACGGAGGTTGAGGGGGGACCTGATTGAGGCCTACAAAATCGTGAGAGGTATAGACAGGGTGGATAGCAAGAAGCTTTTTCCCAGAGTGGGGGACTCAATTACTAGGGGTCACAATTTCAAGGTGAGAGGGGAAAAGTTTAAGGGAGATATGCGTGGAAAGTTCTTTACGCAGAGGGTGGTAGGCGCCTGGAACGCGTTGCCAGCGGAGGTGGTAGAGGCGGGCACAATAGTGTCACTTAAGATGTATCTAGACAGATACATGAATGGGCAGGGAGCAGAGGGATACAGATCCTTGGAAAATAGGCGACAGGTCTAGATAGAGGATCTGGATCGGCGCAGGCTTGGAGGGCCGAAGGGCCTATTCCTCTGCTGTAATTTTCTCTGTTCTTTGTTCTTTGACTTTGGAGGGTTCTGATGTGCTTAACTTAATAGTTAGCTAAGACAAATTCGATGGGTTAAGATCTTCCCTGACCCCTGGCCAACCATTAAGCAGATCCCTCCCTGCCTATCAACTGAACCCCACTGACTCACATTCATGCCTTCCAGACCTGACCTGACTACCATTCCTGCCCCTTCCAGACCCAATCTTCCACCACCATTTCCAAGACCCTCCCCCTAACTTGAACTTGAAAAGCCCCAAATCCAACTTAACCTTACTCTGTCTCCTTGCTATAGAAAAGGACCGTGACTCAGCTAGTCCCAAGTAACCTACCCGACAAGGAATAAAGGTGCGCTGCACGTTTCTGAGGGCTCTGGCATCAGACACTGGGGTCAGAAATCTGGGCAACTGACCCTGGAGAAAAACATAGGTGTCAGAGCAGCAATCCCACAGTGCTGGCTCCCCAACATACTGAACCTATACAGTGACTGCTTCACTGAATAAAGTCAACACTGGCAAGGTACTTTAATAATAATTTCAGGAAAATATAAATTAAGGTTTACATTGTAGTTGGATTTTAACACGGATGAGTCAATTTTGACACTGTTGAACTAGTCTGACCTTCATTGAGGTGTTCGGAAGCTTTAACTGCCCAGATCCAAATTAAAGGTATCTGGTCACATCAGTCATTTTGAAGATTGTGCAAACTTTAATATGTACACAACTATCCATTCAGATCAATGCTTCCTTTACAACTTATTCACTGTGAGAAGGAGATATACCGCCATCCAAATTTTCCCTTTGCCTTTTAGATCAAACCTGCTGCTGTTACTGGCTCACCATCATCTCTCAAATTTCTCTTTCTTCTTAAAATCAGAAATCGCTGCGAAATCTCAGCAGGTCTGGCAGCAGCTGTGGAGAGAAAGTAGAGTTAACGCTATGGGTCCAGTGACCCTTCTTCAGAACTTCTGTTTCTGATTTCCAGTACGTGCAGTTCTTTGGTTTTTATTTGGTTTAGTGGCTGCCTGTTTCTTCTTGATGGAAGGGGACTGAGTACAATGAAGAAGCGGTTCCAACTCCAGAACGGATTAACCACAAATGTGTTTGCCTAATGATGACAATCAAACCATTGATGGTGAGTGGGGAATGCTTCCAAGTAAGATGGATTTAAATGGTTTTTGTTTCCCTCTGCAGTTTATTCGCGAAGGTGAGGGGATTGCCTACATTGTCAGTGGAAGCGGGAGTTTCGTTGACTCATCAACAATAAACAAGGAAAAGGTTCCAAGCAATTGGCTGCATTTCTACAATGCTGAGATCAGTGCTTTGGGTGGATTTGTACTGATTCGAATTACTGCAGAACAAATGTTTGCATCATACAGACAGCCGTATGGGATGGTGGTTTTCCAAACTGCATTACCAAGGCGCAACTTTTAAATCAGGGGAGAAAAAAATGGCCTTGTAAAGAAATCGACTTCTTGTAGAATTATTCAAAATATGCATTCACTTCAACCAGTTTCTAATCTCTAGGAGACTGGATTCAAAATTTATTTTACTGTGGGCTGTTAATTGACCTATTGGAATGGATATTGTAATGTGCCGACAGTGGTCTGTCATCTTCGCACTAAAAAAAAGTGGAATAATAAAAGAATAAGATTGAATTGTTGGGGCAGAAAATGTAATTTGTCAACCTTGCAAATACAGAGCTTTGGGATCACATATTGGAAATTGAGGCCAGTGATATCAGTTGACTAGTGCATTCCAAATTTCCATCATGTACGCTCTGTGGATGTCTATCAACAGTTGCACAAAGTTGGAGAATCGCCCCTATACAAAAGAAGACTCATTTTACAGAGGTGATTTGAGTATTCAGCAACTATTTTTGCAACCTACAGGTTCTATTATAATAGCCCAGTTTCTTAAATGTAATGCATGCTCGAAATTTAGGCCTAGTTATTTTCTCACTGTGAGCAGTTTTGGGCCCTGTATCTAAGGAAGGGTATGTTGGCCTTGGAGGGAGTCCGGAGGAGGTTTACAAGAATGATTCTGGGAATGAAGGGCTTGTCAAACAAGGAGCAGTTGATGATTCTGGGTCTGTAGTATTATCCATACAGTGTGGAAACAGGCCCTTCGGTCCAACAAGTCCACACCGACCCTCAGAGCATCCCACCCAGACCCATCCCCCAAATCTACACATCTCTGACCACTATGGGCAAGTTAGCATGGCCAATCCACCTAGCCTGTACATCTTTGGACTGTGTAAGGAAACCGGAGCACCTGGAGGAAACCCATGCAGACACGGGGAGAATGTGCAAACTCCACACGGCCAGTCACCCAAGGGTGGAATCGAACCCGGGTCCCTGGTGCTGTGAGGCAGCAGTGCTAGCCACCGTGCAGCTGTACTCGATGAGGTTTAGAAGAATGTGGGGGGTTTTCTCATTGAAACTCACAGAATACTGAGAGGAACTCAGTAGGTCTGGCAGCATCTGTGGAGAGAAAACAGAGTTAATATTTTGGCTCCAATGACCCTTCTTCAGAACTGGACACAAAACGTTAACTGAGCTTTCTCTCCACAGCTTCTGCCAGATCTGTTGGGTTTCTCCAGCAATTTTTGTTTTTGTTTCTGATTTCCAGCATCTGCAGTTCTTCTGGGTTTTGTTTTAGAATACCGAGGGCCCTGGATATGTGCATATGGAGAAGATGTTTCCACTGTTAGGAGAGACTAGGACCCGAGGACACAGCCTCAGAGTGAAGGGGTGACCCTTAGGAACTGAGATGAGGAATTTCTTCAGTTAGAGGGTGGCGAACCTGTGGAAATCATTGCCGCAAAAGGCTGTGGAGGCCAAGTTATTGAGTATCTTTAAGACAGTGATCGATAGGTTTTTCATTAGTAAGGGAATCCAGGGTTACAGGGAGAAGGAATGAAATGATGTTGAGAAACATATCAGCCAAGATTGAATGGTGGAGCAGAATCGATGGGCCAATTGGCCTAATTCTGCTCCTATATCTAATGGTCTTGCATTGTGTTTTCATTTGCAAGATACTCAAAAATAACAGTGAGATGCATGGACAGCTCTGCAGTGAGCTTGAATGCATTTAAGTTTGTTCAAATCCTAGATTTGAAAAGAAAAGTCTTATTTAAGAAAATGGTTTCCTCAATTCAAGTGGCAACTGTAGAATGGAGTATGATTGGACTCAATCTCAGGAGTGATTTTGACAGCTATTATTTGGGCTCCATCCTTGAAACTTCTGGTCTTGCCTTGATACCTCTCTCCAAAGGATTACTCATTTATTTTAGATCTGATCCTTTCTTGTGCACAAGCAACAACATTTCAAAACATTACGAAGCAAGCAGCAAACCAGTTTTAACAATAAAACTTTGAGGCACTCCAATAAAAAGCATAGGATTTTGACAAATCAAACATATCAAAATACAAAGATTTCTGTAAAGTATCTGAAATGTTGTCTTCTGTGCTTGTAGAATTTTGTAAATATATGATCTGATCTGTGCAGAAAGAAAATGATGTGGAGGTGCCGGTGTTGGACTGGGGTGGACAAAGTCAGAGGTCACATGACACCAGGTTAGAGTCAAACAGGTTTATTTGAAATCACAAGCTTTCACAGCACTGCTCCTTCGTCAGGTGACTTCAGAAAGAAAATACAAGAGAGCAAAAAATAATCAGAATCTAACTTCGAAAGACCAAACACTGTCTTGAAGCTCCCTGGCTTTCCAGTGCCAACGACAACATTTCTTAAGGATTTAGTGAGGGAATCTGATGCACCAACATTACAGATGTCGTTTATCTGTTTTTATTTTGCTTTTTACACCATAATCTCTGCAAAGTTCACAGATGAAATGGAATTGTTTAATGCAACACAAACTGCTAATCTGGTCTAATGTTCATGTTTACTTGGTTTGTTCTTGTACTAATTAAGCTCTAAATCGGTGGATACAGGAGGGAGAACTGCTGCAGTCACAGTACCAATGTTAATTTAGTTCAACAACAGACTCATAATATTTGTATAATAACTGAAAGTGGTGACTTCTGATGCACAAGAGGGTTAAAATTGGCAGAAGTTAGCACCTCGGACTTGGAAAAGCCATTGCTAAACAAGTTGAACTTAAGATCGGTAAGAAGAAGAACTGTGAAATTGAGCACTTTTTCTTTATTTCTTCATTTTTTTGCAGTTATATTCTATGTTTTGGTTTATTTTCTGTGTTTTCAGATGGCACCGGAGAGTGGCGACACTATACATCACTTTTCACGGTATTTCATAACAAAATAAACGTGACAATAAATAAATCAAATAAATAAATAATGAGACAAGGGGACAGAAATTCTTGAAAATGCTACCTAGCCATTTGAATTTGATCCAGAATCGGCTGGTAGCAGAAACTGAATTGCAAATTGAGCTGGAGTTTAAAACTCAAGAGTGGAAGAGAAGAAAGGCAAGCTCAAGAAGATGAGGTAAATAGCTAGAGTTTAGGGACAACCATAGAATCCATGCAGAGTGGCCCATCAAGTCCACACTGACCCTCTATAGAGCATTCCACCCCCACCCTATCCCTGTATTTTCCATGGCTAACCCTCCCAGCCTGCACATCTTTGGACTGTGGGAGGAAACTGGAGCACCTGGAGAAAACCCACACAGACATGAGGAGAATGTGCAAACTCCACACAGACTGTCACCTGAGGCTGGAATCAAACCTGGGTCCCTAGCACTGTGAGACAGTAGTGCTAACCATTGTGTCCCCAGGAGAAAGACTATCTTGACAAAGGGAACTAGAAAGAGAAGGTCAGAAAGAAGAGAAAGGCCCTGGGACTTCCAGCTTTGGAGGTTGGAATTGAAGCTGCAAACACAGAAAGATAAAGACCACAGATAGCTTGAAACTGCTTGGGATAATCCCATTCTGTTAACTAATAGCCACAACCAATTGTAACTCTGTACAAAGCCTTAAAACCTTAACATTCTCCAAATTTGTTCCCAGATTTGTAAAACAGGATGTCAAATTCTTATTTACTTCTTTTGGAAATGTACAAGATCAGCATTTTCTCTCTCCCAAGACATGTGGACATTGGTGATCCAGGGTCTGGTACCAGGAAAAGGCTTCATGATCTCTTCCTGGGCCTGTGGTGGCATAATAGTAATGTTGCTGGCCTAGTAACCCAGCAACCACAGGCTAATGTTCTGGGGACATGGGTTCAAATCCCACCACAACAGATGATGAGTTTGCATTCAATATGAATCTGGAATTTAAACAGAAGAACTAGCCATTGCTGCTTATTGTAATGTCCTAACTGAATAATAAAACATTCAGTGGGATAACTGCTCATTACAAACAGCCTGAAGAGGCAAAGTTTAGGCCAGGAGTGTATTGTCTGTAATCCCAAACATCATGTAAGAAATCCTGCAAAGCTTTCTGGGGTTTGAAAGAATAAAATGGATTGTGTTTGATTGATGCATACAATCTCTGAAAGTAGAGTGTATTTATGAGGGAATAAGAGAATTGGTATTTTTAAAGGAGTTCAAAGATCACCTGTCTTAAAATATGCAAATATGCCTTGAGGAACAGAAAAAGCATAGAAGTCATGAGTCAAATAAACTATACCAGCAGGGAAAAGAGAAAAGGATGGGTAACTGGAAAAGAAATTAGACCAGGGAAAGAAGAATGGTGGAAATGGGAATGCCAGTCTCCAATTGTTAGAAGGGAAAGTATACGTTGCAGAGTTGCAGAAGTGTAGCTTATCCACTTTAATTGTGGTAAAGGTATATTTCCCACCATATCTGGCATGTGAAGAAATTCACATGTAAATTGTATCTGTAAACACTAAATTTGTAGTGCAAACTCAAAGAAAGACATAGAAACTTACCAAGATTTTGTGTGTAACGGGAAAATAGCCCTTTATTAGAACTGGGACAGGAAGTTACCATACTCTGGGTCACCTTCTGAAGAAGGGTGATTGGATACTAAACGTTAACTCTGCTTTCTTCCCACAGATGCCACCAGACTTACTGAGTTTCTCCAGCAATTTTTGTTTCTGGATCACTAGTTGCTTGCAAAAACTGCTGGTAAGGAAATTTGAGGATTTCCTTTGCAGAAAAAGGAGAAATTTGACAGCAATAGCCAAAAGGACTGACTTGGAGAAGGTGTTGAGGTGATGGTGAGTGTAATCTCAGGTTTGCCAGCTGTTGACCTTAGCTGGGAAATAACTCCATAAGCTTTGGTTGGCTAGGTTTTGCCCAGCCCTTCACCCAATAAACAAAAACTGAAGAAAACCCTGGGCAGGCTGAACAGACTGAACAGATGCAGCCAGAAGCTGTACGGTTCCAGCCTGTTAAAAGGGTACAGAAGCCCAAAGTGGGAAATATAACCTTTCATGATTGAAAGATCTCAGCAAAATCCACAAGATTAAACAGAGACCAGGTTAATTCCCAAGGCAGGTTCAGAGACATTGAGAAAATGCCACAGTTAGTTGAAGGCACTGAAGGACCTCCTTTGGTATGTAAGGAATCATGGAATCCCTAGAGTGTGGAAGCAGGCCATTCAGCCCATTGAGTCCAAGCCTCTGAAGAGCATCCCACCCAGACCCACTTCCCTACTCTATAA